GGTACAAAAGTTAAGAAAAATTTATTAGTGTTAATTAATGCTTGAAGGTAGAATTATGCTTCTTTCAATTGGACCCATTAAAGGGGCTTTAATATAGATTTGCACAGCAAGCTGAAGATTTTCAAGTGCAGATAATGAGGCAAGCTAGTACTATTTTAACCCCTCCGGAGTATAATCAGTTGATAAGGTTTTGAAACGTTACAAGGTCTAGGACAAAAAGATTAGCTTTAGTTCTTCCTGATCAAAATTGAAACCTAATTAATTAACAGTGCTATACAAAACAGAAAAGGTTTACTGCTACTTTTACATGTCTTTAATCTCATCTTCTAAGAAAAACAGGTGAAGATATTTTACCTATTGCATGAATGGCAGAAGAATGAGTTTTCTGTTCCCACACTATCCTAAACTAACTGTTTAAATTCAAAAATTTTAATGCATTCTTCCAAAAAACCTCACCTTATTTTAAAAGGGAAAAAAAAAAAAAAAGCACAAGTGATCTATTTGAGACATACACAAATACGATAAATTAAATACACCAGGTAGGAAATGTTTCCAAAGAAAAGGGAGAATGAAAAAAGATATCTGCAGCAGTAGCCTTCAGAAGAATAATTAAAATTCTAGGATAATGAATTATCCACTCAAAAGCAGCAGTTAGAAATTATTTTCCTTGAAACACACAGAGAAATTATGTATATATGGCAATGATACATCACTACTGAGAAAAGAGTTTTGAATCACTGTGTAAAACAAAATTACAGTAATAAGATCAGTATAGCAATCTAGACACCAGCCTCAAAGGAATAAGATTTTTACCACACAGTATTTAGTAGAAATATATATATGCCAGAAGAGGCACAGCTGTGACTATTAAGACCAAAAGTTACCAATCAACCAATTACAAAGACAAAAATTAAAAAAAAAAAAAAAGGAACAAAGGGAAAAATACAATGGAAAACTCCAGTACAATATATTTTGTATTGAATTTATGTGCAGTAATAGATGAAAAAAAACTTAAGTGCTTTAATAAATACTATATTTATTTGAACCTTTGAATGGTACTTTTTAAAATGTTCCACATTCTTTCATATTTAAAATGTTTAACACAATATGCAGTTATGCAATAAACTCATCACAAGAACAAAAAAAGTTACGCACTTATGTTAAAGTGAAGATTACAGCATCGTAATTTAGGAAAGGTGCATAACAGACTGAAGTCATACTAAAGTACATAAAAGTTCGATGCATTTACTCTGTTCCAAAGATGTTAGACAGCAGAAGTTCAGGTACAAAACTTTGATTTACACTGATTTTTACCCTTAAAGCCACAAGTCCCATTCTCATGAATATTTGAGCACTTTTTTCCCCGTTTAGGTTATTCAAAAGTGATTAGAGACCATATTACCTCTCAATCATGTTTCCAAATTAATTATTTTAGTTGATTTTCAGTAATATACATTAAAATGGAAACCCTTCAAACAGTTGAAATATGTCATTACAAAAAAGCTAATTTAGCTCTCAGTATTAAATAACTACACACATCTCACCTAGGGTGTGGAGAATATGCTTTCTTATTTACAGTAATTTTTAAAGGGCACTTAAGCATGTCAGGACAAAGTCTAAGCAGAATACAAGAGAAGAAAAATTATCCCATGTTCTCCCTCTAGGGTTTTGTTGTTTCTGGCAGCAATATCAGCTTACATACATGTCAAATTATGAGAAACGTCATTTATTTGCCTTTTTTCCGTTAGTCAGCATGGATTCATAGTCAGCTGTTTGATGGCCACTCAGAAATTCCCAGTAAATAAATACCCGGTGACAAATGATGTTGTTGCAACTGGTATCTCTGTAAGATGCATGAAGGGGAGGGAAAACCAACAGAAGAGATGACTGGATAATCTCACCTTCCTAGACGTAACAGGTTGGTAGACTGCAATACACCTTGAAGTCTTGCTGTCTATACTTTACAGAAAAAAACATTCATTGGCATTACTGTCAAAACTCACAGTTTCATAAGCAACCTGTCTGCATGTTAATTACACAAATAATATCTCTTTCTCCTTAGATGAACAAAGAAAGAACAAAACCAGAAAACCAAAAGAAACAACAATGCTCCTTACTACATTGTTCTCTATGCCAGCTCCAGTCTTTGATTACCAAAGAAACCACCGAAACAACTCCAAAAACTCAGAAAATGATCCCTGTCTTGTTTCAGTCCTGTGGCATCCCAGGCAATGGATGAGGCAAGAAGATCAGAATGACACCACTTTCGTATACAGCTTTTATATACAGCACTGGCCACTGGCACCAACTGGTGCCCTTCGCAACCGCCCCCAAGTCAATGATACTCTAAGGGAGGCTATTTGAAAGGGCTGTATTACAACATGCATTAAAGTTGTGATGATCATCAAAAAAGCAGCTTCTGTCCTCCTCATCTGTTAATTCCTCCTAACCTGTTGCCAAACCCTCTTTCCCCAGCTGCCACCTTTCCTTGGTTCTAGTTACATTTTCAGCCTCTCTCCACTTCCAGATGGTAACTGCATCACACTATCAATTTCAGATTGCTGATCAATTTCAATTTCAGCTTCTGAAATTGATCTGAAACGACTGAGAGCAATCTCATGGAGATGCACACTACAGGTTCAGAAGCTGCCACAGAAGGCCGCCCTTCTTAAAAGCACATTACTGCACACAAATTTTTATAAACTTCTTACACAGGTATTTTCTCTTTCAGCTAAGGATAGGGCAGAAATGCAGGAATAATCATGCATTGCTGGTTTATAAAAATGATATGCATGCATGTACCAGACACACTGCAAATCACACCTACAGCCACAAGGACATGACAACATATAGAAACTCCAGCCACAGCTGTAATACAAAATAAAAGGATGAGTAACCTAATTTCACTGGTGTTTCTCGTCAGGCAGCAGGTACATCAGCTTTATTTTGAACAAAACAGAAGTAGGTAAGCTCTAGGAACCTGAATTTACACCACTGGCTGCACAACTTACCACAATTCAAGCAAGAGCCTAGTAAAGGCCATCAGAAATGTGAGGAAATTCGCTAATGATCTGCACGATGGGGCAGAGTGCACTCTCAGCAAGTTTGCTGATGACACAAAATGCCATAGCATTGTGCTGCCATTCAGCAGCTGGACAGGCTGGAGAAATGGGCTGAAAGGAACCTCATGAAATAAAAAACTGGGAAATAAAAAATCCTGCACCTGAGGACAAACAACCCCATGCAAGCTTGTATGCCAGGGCCCATACACTAATATATGCTGAGGGCTGCCCAGCTGGAAAGCAGCTTTGCAGAAAAGGACCCGGGGTCCTGGTAGACAACAGGTTGACCATGAGCCAGCAAAGTAACATTGGGACAAAGACAGCAATGGTATCCTGGGCTGCATTAGGCAAAGTATTGCCAGCAGATTGGGGGAGGTGATCCTTCCTCTCTACTCAGCACTAGTGAGGCCACACTTGGAGTCCTGTGTCCAGTTCTGGGCTCCATAGAACATGAGAGATATGGAGCTACTGGAATCAGTCCAGCAAAGGGCCATGAAGATAATTTAGGTGCTGGGGTTTCTCTCCTATGAGAGAGAGTTGGGACTCTTCAGCCAGGAGAAGAAAGGCTCAGGGGGAATCTCATCAATGTACATAAATACCTGAAGGCAGGATGCAAAGAAGATGCAGCCAGGCTCTTTTCAGTGGAGTCCAGCAACAGGACCAGAGGCAATAGGCACAGACTGAAACACACGAGGTTCCCTCTGAACATCAGGAAACAGTTTTTCACTGTGAGGGTGACCGAGCATCAGCACAGGTTACCCAGGGAGGCTGTGGAGTCTCCATCCTTGGAGATACTCAGAAGCTGTCTGGACATGGTCCTGGGCAACTGCCTCTAGGTGACCCTGCTTGAGCAGGGACGGTGGACCAGATGACCTCCAACCTCAACCATTCTGTGATTCTATGGAAAACTATGTATCCGTTGGTCTTTTATCCACAGAAACTGCAGGATTTAGACATCTGAAAGCACCTTTGTCTGTGTTTTTGCTATCAGCTTTTTTTATCTGTGAAGTAATTCTAATTCTTTTTCTCTCCCTCCATATTACACTTGTTCTGACTATGGCTTTTTTCTTATTAACATTCCTAATAACATGGAAAAGAACATTCTGTTCTCCTCATCATCTTGAAAAGGTAGTCATTTGAGATTTATGGAGAAAAGGAAAGTGCAGTGTTTATTGTTCTCTTGTGTTTATTTAGTATTTGTTAGTGTTGGATTTCATAACTATCATATTTCAAATACTATGAAGGGTTCAAAAGCTTTGATTACTTTTCAAAGAATTATTTTGATTTTTAGAAAATGAGCTCATATTTCCTCAATTGCACCAATGGCTTGGCTTAATACATGGTTTTAATTTAATTTTTTTTTACTAATATACAGCAGTCAGTTTTGAGTGAAGAGTTCAATAGAGAATACACACGATGTAAGACTTATGTATAACATTTTGGATTTGTCAGTATTGTTTTACAGTTTATGCTAACAGTTAAATATTGTTGTAGGTTAGGAACACTAAAATACATAGCTGTATTGCTTTTAGGATACATGTTTAGTCCTCATTACTCTAGAAATGTTTTCATTTTGTATTTTCAGGATGGCAAATCTTTCCAAACCACGGGCACATTACAAACCTAAACATAGTCAGAACCCTTCTAGATTAAAATCCAAGTTTGGGTCAGTCCATTAGGCAAAATAAGGCAACGAGTTGATGAAAGTTTTCAGAAAAAGTTTCATCTAAAATCATAGGAACTTTTTAGGTGAAAGGTCACCTGTTTGAACAACTCAGAAGAGTTTAATTAAGACTTTATCAGAAGGTTATCATCTCTGAATCACCTGCAACTTTCACAACTTAAAACACAACAGCAATCTACTTTCACATCTTAGGAAATATAAATTTGATGTCAATATTAGTTTTCTTAACTGCTCTATTTAAACATATTACCAACCTGTTCTAAGGTTTCTATTTTGCTGTCTTTGGCTTGCAAAATCTCTAAAACCCTTCTGTCCTTGACTTCAGCTTTCTGCTTTTCTCTGGAAACAAACAAAAAAAATAGATGCTTTATTAGTCATAATTTGCAGTTAATCATTTGAATTTTTCATGTCCTGATAATGAATGTCATTTTAAGGCACAGAAAATTAAATTATCTGAAGCTGACAGGCCTTGCAGAATTAATCAGGGAGCATATGGCAAGTGACAGCAAATTACATCCGTAAACAGCTAACACAACTTTGTTCAAAAAGTAAGAAAAGTAAGAAGCAAGAGGTCTTAAAATACATTTTTAAGCAGATGAAAGTATCTGTCTCATTCTTTCCCAAATACAGAAAGTGTACTTGTCCATAGACTGAGCAAAATGCTTTCTTCCCTCCTTGGCAATGTAGAGCCATTAAGCTGCTTGGGTTTGTGGGGTCCTTCTCTCAACTACATGGCATTTCTACATCTGGAACCACACTTTTGAACATCACGGATAACTATTTTACTACCTTTCACACAGATATAATCTATAACTTTTACCAGGGGAGGAAAAAGAGACAAGTCAGAAGCTTTGATAATAGGGATGAGCAGAGCCTCTCTATGTGGTTAATAAGTGCAGGGCTATAATCACCTCTGCAACACTTTGTAAGAAAACAGCTGATGAGTCATTAACGCTTTGTTTAACAAACCACCTCATCTCATTGATATCCTACTTCTTGACTGAGTTTTAAATGTTGGTGCCCTTACTGGCTTCTGTTTTAGGCAGAAAGAAAACACATGTTGCCGTAGTAAGGATACACAGACATTCCTTAGCACAAGACAGAGTTCCTATGATCTATCTGTGACAAAAGGTCTGAGAAACATATACTCCCTAAAAATGGCCAATACTTCAGGCACCCCCAGCACCACAGGTGACAGAGAAGCAGAAACTCGTTCAGATTTTCCCTGCTCTTACAATACAGTTAAACTTCCATTATGGCTGGATACAAGTAACCCCCAGAAGCCAGAAAATCCTACGTGCATAACTTTTGCTCTATCAAAATGGGAACGTTTCAGAGGTGGAAGGGAATGGAAGAGTGGTATCCATGAGTCAGTAAAGCTGATCAGAAGTGGATAAGAGTATCCAGCTGTGTACAAAAGACTTAATCTACTGAAGCATTTTGTAACAGAGACCAATAAGGATACCAGATATATGAGCAATTATTTTTCTCCACTATTATGTATTACTGTATATTCTACTGTTATCGTGATTTTAAGGGCTAAACTACACTGTCCCCACAGGCCATCCACTACCACGTTTTTTTAAATAGAGTTCTATGACTGCTAAAATAGCTAGTCTGATCTTGAGTAAATAAAGAATTAAATAAAAATGGTATGTAATTTAAAGCAAAGTTTTTGGAAAACAAGGTCTCAAGGCATCATAATTGTAAGTAGCACTCCCCTACTGCAAATACAGCAGCACTGATGTGTTGTAGCACTAGAAGAAAACTAAGAAAAACCTAGCTGAAAAGATACGTATTTAAATTACATTTGGCTAGGAGAAACAAAAATATATGGAATCTCAAGCAGTTGTATAGCATTAAAAAAAAAAAATACTTCCATAAAGAAAATAATTCAGGAGCTGTAATGAGCAGAGAAAAGTGAAAACATGAATATTCAACAAGTATTCCAAAAGACATTCTGTGTCTGAAAGGTATTTAACATTTTAACTGAGACAGAAACTTAACAGAAAAATGCACACCAGATCCTGACCTCAAAGCATTTGATCACCTGCAATCAGAAGCATCAAGGAATTGTCATGATAGGTTGCTAGGAAGACATGAGCAGTGAAATACATAGTACAGCCAGTTTTTCATAGCTTCTCTTTGAACATCTACTAAAACTGAACTAACTAGACTGCAATTACATAGATCCATGCAAATATGAAGTTATCTGACGTATTCCAAAGGTTACACTGTGATATCCTTTGAAAAAAACCTAAGGACAAAAAAAATGAGCACGAGAGAAAACAACAAACAGGTTTCATAAGACATGACAGTTAATGAAACTGACCCACCCTGTTTATAATGCACAACTAGTTTACAGAAATCACATTCTCAGTCAGGTTTTAAAAAAATGGTAGAAGACTTTCTGATAAGCTTATAAAACTTGTGCTAAAAGATACTGGACAACTAAAAAACCTGGAAGTTAGTAAGGAAAAATGCCTGTGAATTATTTATATAATACTCACCACAGAAGTCTGTGCATGTTCCTGAAACAGGTATACTGTTCATGATACATACTGTACATTAGTCCACAACTTAAACCAAAAACCGTTCCAGTATAAAAATACCAATGCTTCTTTATATTTAATTACTTTGCTGTGGGGTCCTTAATGGTTATCAACAATTACCCTTTTTCAAAGATAATAGTTGCAGTACACAAAACACAAATATTATGGGAAGAAGGTACCTTTCTCCCATAAGAACATTACACAATAATCTATCTGAAGAAGTGAAGGACCTATATTAATCTATGCCTAAAATGTAAGTACTATAGCACTACAAGTTTCCTCAAGTCTTAATTACAGCTAGACAACTTAAGAATTTAAGATTAGACACATGCATAACTGCTTGATCCAAAATTTCAAGAGCTTCAGAAGACAAAAAGCAAAACAGGCCTTTACTACAAAGTACTCAGAATAGTAATGTGTAGGCACAGGAAGAATCATACGATACAATACACACACACACACAAGCCCCATGAACCACTGAACAGTATTGCTTCCAGCCCTCAGAAGTATCCTGACCTTAACCACTGGCTGACATGTCTTATCCGTTCTTTGCTCCCACAGTGATGTATTTCCCTCTCCATTTTAATTCAGCTGTTTTTATTTGATATTTCTACTTAAATTAAACCATTGCTCTAACCACTCATTGTATATCTACCATCCACAATAAGCCATTGTCTTCCCAACTCCTCTAACCACTATCTAGTCTCACAAAGTCAGCCTTTTTTAAAACTAGGTCCAATTAAACACAAATACTGGATAATTAGCCTCTTAGCTCTGCAATCATCACTTGAAAATTTATTAAACTTGTTTTCTAATGGATTAATGGATCTGAAAACCTGATGGGTAATCATCACTTGAAAATTTATTAAACTTGTTTTCTAATGGATTAATTGATCTGAAAACCTGATGGGTCAGGTAGATTTCCCAAAGCAAGGCTCAAAAGAATTCTACAGTTGTGCGGGGTTTGTTTTTTTTTTTTTTTGTGGGGAGGTATTTTATTTTAAAGAGCGAACAGGAATAAAGTGAATAAACCAGCCAAGAATTAAGCAAAAGAACAAACTGCTCTGGAGAACTGAAAAATAGTATGCACAGCTAATTCTGGTGTATTATTCTGGAGCCCTGTGACTTTAGGACAAGGCTGAATGAAAGAGGTCTGAAGAATAAAGTCTGACATTGGAGATTAAAAACAGACCTTCGTTCAAGCAAAAAAATGTGCCTGTACCACAGGCACACACTAGCCAATGGTTCAAAGTGCATTTGTTAAATGCAGTATTTCGCTGTTTATCTGATGCTTGGTCAAACAGTCCTTAGAACAAAGCTGTCTAGAAACCAAGTTTATAAATGCAGATCTATCATCATCATAAAGAGTGGGAAAAGTCTAAAGTAAATTCAAGGGGTTTTGGCTTTCTGAGGTTTTCTTCCAGACTCTCAAGATAGCACAGGCTGTAGTAATGCCCCCAAAAATAGTTTCACCAGTTACTGCCCCTAGCTAAAGAAAAAATCCTAATTATTGTAATTTAAGCATGCAATGGATGTTTTCAGAAGCCTAAAGCATATATTGAAACATCATATGGAACTTTATCAGCAGCTTCTGCTGGCAGCATAGGATGGCTTCCAATGCTTGTTACAGGACAGTTCCCCACAGACACTCAAGGCAGTATGACTGACTGGAACTTACATATCATATTTGGATCTGCTGTTGTGCCTTGAAATGAGACTTGACAAGAATTGCAGTAATCCCCTCCTCTTCTTTAGAAGGGTAACAAAGATTAAGAAAAATCTTCAACCGACTATATTAATTGAGCTGTTATCTATTTACAATATATTAAAAAAAGTCCACCAGAATATGGGGGGGAAAAAAAATTCAGGCACTGTCAAGAAGCTGATGATGATCAATGACTGAGACAAACTCCTGTTTAGCTAATTAGAACCACTGATGAGCAATAATGATGTGAGCTAAGAATATTTGCAGACTTCTTTAGGATGAAAAATGGAGTGAAGAGAGGCTGTCAATTTGTAGAAGTTTTAAGCTCCAATCAGTTTTCCCACGAGTACTACCTATTTTAAATGTTTAACACAGATGTATTTAGCTACAGAGATTATCAAGATCCAGCTTCCCACAAAAACAAAGAAAATGAGAAAATATTCTTAAGCGTAACATTTTTCCTGTGTTATGATTTTTTTTTCCTGTGTTATGTTGTACTTTACACAACAGGGCAGGATAATGTTTTTGAGGTTTGGCACATTTTTAATGGCTTGTCAAATGAAACATTAGACTGTGAGGAAACATTTAACTATGAATGAGGTAGAAAACCAGAATACGCACTACGAAAACCTTAAGATTTTAAAACCCATAAGTTTGTTGAAGTTTATAGAACACCATGCTTCCTAAAATCTTCAGCAAAAGCAGTCTGGGAGAAGAGGCATCTTGTATCCTACCTCAGGTCTTAATCAGTCAAGCAATTAACCATTTGTCCCAAAAACAGTAATTCAGTGTTGTATATAATTATGTCATTTTTACATCAAATAAGTTAAAATAATTTTAACTAATAAATTGAATTTGCTGTTTACAGGTTTCATAGAGTATGTCCTTTCAGTTTTACAAAACAACAGGATTTAAAAAAAAAATGCATCTAGAAATTTGGCCTGAAATAGCTAAGAAAATTAAGGTTACACTGCAAACTTTGGGCTGTGTGGTAAAAGAACAAAGGCTATATTTTAACAGTATACCTATATAACTAAAATTAAACTGATTCTAGAAATATCATTAGTTTTGAAAGATTTTTC